TTGTTGGATTTTAACCTGCAACCTTCTTGCTGTGAGTCGCCATACATACTTCACGATGCTCATTTTGTTCTTTTCAGGGCTCAAATTGCTTTTAACAGGCTGCTATTAACTGCTTTGTCAGCCACGGTAGTATTTAACTGCACATTTAAAGCAAAATTGATAACTTATGAAAGCTGCTATAGTATGTATGATTAATGTCAGCGTACGTTTTTTATTTTTATTCGTACACATGAAAGAGATGGAGTTGTGCACATTCCTGTACGCCATAACATTTCAGCTTATCTAATAACGAACACAACATCGTCTCTGTTCAAAAGTGTCACTTAATACATTTCTATTGTGTGTTTGGTCCTTTATTTATCAGAATGTTGCACATGGTTCTTTATTAGTCCCAGACAGTTTGGTTGTTGTCAGGCGTCAGACACGGAGCAGATGAGCACACTGGGAGAGGAGCTTCAGAGGAGTCCAGGTGGAGAGGCGCTGGGAGTCGTCCAGTGGTGTGGGTGGAGGTGATCCTTCATGTCAGATACTGCTGCGATCTACGGCCAAAACAGGGAAAATCACATTATCTGTGGATCTGCAAGTCAAACATTTGAATTCTATTAGGAGTTCTTCCCCCACAGCATTGAGCAAGAGGCTTCTAGTTTCGATTGAAGTAGGGAATCTAACTTTTTAAAGACACTGTGTAACTTTTCTGGTTTTCTTTTTTCCACCCGCTCTATGGAAATGATACAGCTTTACCACACAATCCTTCCTGACACATTTCTATTTATGTTTCGTCATCCAGAAAACAACACAAGCACTATGTAACCTTTTTCGTAATGTGTTTGCCACCTTGTTTTCGTGGAGGTCGTGATTCTCCACCAGAAAAGTTTGATTTTTAAGTGCATTTTTAATATATAAATCACAAACAGAATCACCCGACGTAAATGCGTTTTCCAACATTTCTCCTTGAACAGTTGGAATTACCCATTACGAGAAATACAAACACAATTCTATCTTATCTTCTTTTGTTTTTGGCAACATAAACAAACCGTGCATTAATGCCCGATTTGACCGAACGCCATTTTAAAACATCCACATGATTCACACCAGACTTTGTAACAGCGCGACTGAAGCTTGATAGCTGATGCCGTATGCTGGCATTGTTTTCCTTTCCTCTGCTAATCAATCAAGCAGAAAAAGAAGCCATCTTTGTGGAAATAGAGTTCAAGCCATCTTACGGAGAGAGCCCACCGGAATATTGTAGGGGGACGCGATGCAGAAAATGGGCACGTATGAGAAGTAATCAAGGTGCTGCAAGATGCTGGCGGTGGGATAAGAGGAGGGGTGTGTGTGTGTGTGAAAGGGGAGATGGGGGAGAGGGAAAAAGTGGGGGTGGGGGGGGACTGAAATGGAAGCAGCTGGGGGTCCAGAGGAGACAGTCAAATGTTCTTGTTATCACCAGAGACAAGCTCAGCGGGAGAGGAATGCACCGGCGACCCTTGGACTGACCTCAAAGTGCATCTGTGAAGCTGCGAGTGTGTCTATTAGTGTAATTGTATGTGTACACTGTAGCTATTTATGTACTAGTATACGCTTAACTATATTCATACCTCCGACCAGTTTTAAAGGCCCTACATTGTGCAAAATTGTCTCCTGTGAGTTTACGCCGTGTTAAAATGTTGTTAAATTTTCAAAAACATACCTGGAGTTTTGTTTTGCGATGCCATGAAATTTTACTTTTACCTTCCGTTCAGTTTAGATTGGATATTCGGGGCTGAAAACATCCAAATGATTCTAGTGAAGGTGTGTAGAGTTTAAAAACACGGTGGAGCCCTTTCTTGTATTACCACATGACGTCACAAGGTGGAACAGTGTTTTTTGTTCAAGAGAAGAACTCAGCCTTAATATTCAGGGTTTGTGCGTTGTATGTTTTTAATCAGAAAACATTATAACAGCGATCAGAAAATTTGTAATATAGGCCCTTTAAATCAAATTGTTCTCGCTTTTTGTGATTAAATGTTTCAAGATTTTAGTTTTAAATTTTAATTAAAGATGGTATATCGGTTTTAAACAGTAGTCAATTTGTAAATTTCACTATAACTTAAGATACATTTGGTGTGTATTGTAGATTTTAAAAGCATAATCGGAATCGGCAAATATCATTTATCAACCACAACAGCAAAGAAATATTAAATATCGGTATTGGCTCAAAAAAAATAAAAAATAAAAAATCACACCATCCTTATTATTAATCATCATTTTTTTTACACAAGTAAATTAAAAGTAACCCCCAAAAATAATTTTTAAAAAGTAAATAAATAATACAAATTAAAAAACATATATATATATATATATATATATATATATATATATATATATATATGTATTTATTAGTTTAATTCATTTGTGAATGTGTTTATTGGTTAATAATTAAATTATCTTTTTTTTAGATTTGTCTGGACTGAAGATTATGAGGGTTGACGTTACACATGTGTGTTTTTAAGAAGAAAAAAAACAACAACTTGCAATCTTATAGGCTACATCATTTAAGAGAATATGTACTCCATGATTTAGTCCTGGTTTAGGTTTAAGCCTGGTTTGGTCCCTGTTTAATCCTTGTTTAGTCTTGGTTTAGTCCTTGTTTAGTACTGGTTTAGTCTTGGTTTAGTCCTGGTTTGGTCCTGGTTTAGTCCTGCTTTGGTCCTGGTTTGGTCCCGGTTTAGTCCTGGTTTAGTCCTGGTTTGGTCCCCGTATAGTCCTGGTTTAGTCCTTGTTTTGTCCTTGTTTAGTCTTGTTTTAGTCCTTGTTTAGTCCTTGTTTAGACCTGGTTTAGTCCTGGTTTGGTCCTGGTTTAGTCCTGATTTAGTCCTGGTTTATTCATTGCTTAGTCCAAGCTGAGTTGGACGACATGCCTTCTTATCACTCAGGTCTTTCGTGTTAGCACTCTGAATTTGCTTGAGAAACCGTGAAGAGGACTGCACGGTGTTTATGTGCGGAAAGATAAGAGCCTACAGTTTACACGGCAGCGGTGGAGAGGTCAAGAGGATTATCTTAAAATATTAGGGACATTTTGACCCCGCTCCCCCCGGCCAGCTCCTGTCTCGTCTCCACAGGGCTTCCGTATCTGCGAGAGGAGCGAGAGGCACCTGTTGCTAAGTTGCGCGGCGGGAACTTTATGAGAAAATGGAAGGGTCAGAGCAGGGCCAATGTCACGAGAAAAACACAGAGGGAGACACAGACAAAGCTCGCAACTGGATTTGGGAGATTTATGGTAGTTCTGGTTCTGGGTGAATGTGATAAATGCTGGAAGAGTAAACAAAAATGTACGATGGAAATTAGGCCTGGGAATCACATTGTCCCTTATGATTCGATACGATACGATATTATCATGGCACGGTGATATATGTGACAATCGATTTATAGATAATATTTTTGTTAAACCACTACTTGTGCAAAGCTAATAGGACTATAATAATATAACTGAATATCTCAAGTGTATTGCATAAACAAGTTTTCGTTCCACTAAATAAGCAACTAGAGCAGTGACAAAAACAATTTCTAAACGATGCCAAAATGCTCTTGGCGATTTATCAATACAGCAGCATGCGATAACGATGCTGTATCACTAAATTTAGTATCACGATATATTGATATTTTGATAATTTGTGTGCAAAATTATCGAAATATCAAAATATCAGTTGAAAATCCCATCATGAGTGTAACAATTTGTTCTCTACACAACCTAAATATAACAGTAAAGAAATTAGAAAATTTGAAAGAAATCACAGATTAAGAATTGTTCCAAATAATGTGTGCATGTATTTAAAAACAAAAAAAACAAAAAAGAATTTCAGAACACAAAATGCGTGTGGTGTCTGACCATGAATTATAGGTTAATTATCTTCACAGTGCAACTAAACAAGAAGTTTATTATAAAACACACATTTAAATCAAACAAATGAAATTATTAAAAATATATAATTCAGATTTTAACATAAATAAAGTAGACTATATGCGTTTGTTGCATTCTAATGGTTTTAAGGAATTATTTTGTCCAGTGCCACAGTTTTCCTCATTGGTGTGAATTCATATTTCCACCAGAGCTGAACTGAGAGCTGCTGGGCGCTGATGCCAATGACGCACGGTCCGTTTGCTCTTGGACTTCAGCGCGCGCGTTTGTTGGTGCGTGTGTGTGCGCGCGTGCGTGTGTGTGTGTGCGTGTGTGTCGCTTGACCACAGAGGGGCGTCAGGGCACTGGAGCGGCATGTGACGCAGAGTCCACACATCAAATAGTGGGGGTACACTTCCACAATATTGCAATTTACTGTTGGGGAGCGTTGGGTAAAATTATTATTATTATTTTGTATTTTTATGAGCAATAGTTGTTTTGCAGAATGGTGAGGCAGTAGTTCTTTGTCGTTACAGTAGCCTGCCCTGATGGGATTGGCTTCTAATTTTAGGGGTTTGGCGTAAACAAACATCACAACACACACAAAACATAATTATTGACTATTTCCCCCACGTCCAGGCAGTTCAAACAGTTAAATTCTGAAATATCATTCTAAGTGCGTTGCTGGTGGATACTGTTATTTCAAAGCACCCAAATAACTAGTAGGCTATAATCTTACGTTTCAAACTGATACAAAGTCCGTAAAAGCGGAGAATGTGATGCAGATGAAGTCCACATAAAGAGTAATTCAAGTCCGCTGCGCTGTGCTCCGCTGCGTCCTTTCTCTGGAACCCAATCTGACCACGGCTCTTATCGGAGGCATCAGACAGCCACAGCGGTGTGTGACAGCGGTGTGTGACCGGGCTGCGCGCTCTCCTGCTCCTCTCCTCTGCTCGGCCTGTCCGCCTCTATCTCGCTCTAATTGAATTAGTGTGTTTTGGAAGGGGGAGGGGCACGACTTTGTTCCAGCGACGCCCATTCAAACCGCTCTGAGCCAATGGGACGGTGCCCCGCTCTCCGTCACCAAACCCACTCTCTCCGCTCCGGCTTCTGCGTCTGGCTCGGCACAACGCACTGCTCCACGCACCGCACGCACAGAGGACTGAGCTTTTTTCTTTGCTACGTGTCGCGTAATGGCTTATATATGAGCGAGGACAACACGAGACGGACATAAACATCACCTTGGATCAGCCACAGTCCGTGCACGCGGATACGGACCCCTCCCCGCGCGTGACACCAGCTGCAGGAGCACAGGAGCAGGACTAACAGTGGACAGAGCAGGACCGCAGCGGGAGTGTATGGCTTTAAAAAGTTACTGCGAGGACATGGACATCTGACGTGCGCCGCGTTTGTTTCTGTTTGTGCGAGACTGTGTTCATCTGTGGACTTAGGTACGAGTGGAGCTCCGTGCGCGAGGACTGCACGCGCTCACTATAGCTGGAGCTCTGTGTGTTCGCGACAGTCTGCTTTGACAACGCACGCACGCGGACGCCGTGAACAAGTGTCACCGAGTCCCGTGTGTCACTCCTCCGCTTTGTCTCGCGCTGCGGGCGGCTGTGTGACTGCCCACAGCGCGTGCCCATGTGAACGAGAGTCGTCACCTGTCCCGTAAAAGAGCCGTCCCAGACCCGAGGATAGTGATGCTGGCAGTGGAGGTAGAGATGGTGCTGTTCGCCTGTCTGCTGCTCTGGATGTGTGTTTTCAGCCAGGAGCCCAGCTCCAAAGTGGTCGCCGACCGCTACGCAGTCTTCTGGAACCGGACAAATGCCAGGTAAGTGCCCTGTAGCGAGCAGCCCTGCTCAGTGCTCCTCGGATTTGCTGCGCTGAGCCCGGCTTGGTTCAGAAGGTTGGTCGCTGTGGTGCTCCGCTGTGGGGCGTATAGTGCCTGTGGCCGTGAGTGAAGGCCACGGTGCTGCTCAGGTTTAGGGTGACTGTCGTACTTTTGGCTGAACGTAGCTTCCCGAGGATTTACACCCGCGCGCAGCAGAGCCGAGACTAGCTCTTTGTGAGGAGCGGGCATCACTGTTGGTGTCAGGGACAGAGAGTCTGAGCAGAGGCTGGACTGTGGAGGACTGGAGACATTTCTATGTGCCGTGTCTCGTATCGCACCGTGACCCACTGGAGCCGCTACAGCCGGATCCGACTCAGTGATCAGAGAGCAGTGTTGAGCCCGCGGCTCACTGCTGTCTGCCCCCGGTCTGTGCGCGCTGCGTATGGGACTGTTGTTGTGGGACAGGAGCGCGGGCTCTATCACAGTCTTACAAATGTTCATTTTTCACACTTTGACCAGAATCACATGGAGAAAATACGTTACAACTTCATGTTACTTTACTTTACGCACACGCATGAGCTGTGCGCATCGACTCCAGTACGTTGTGGACAAATACGTGCTTTGCGTAATGGAGATAATCTAAAACAACATACAATGGTGGCTGCTACTTTATATTTGGACATAACCTTATTTATTTAATGTAGTAAATAAAATATAATTGTTGTAGTATAAAACGTAACTCCTTTTCTCCAATGACCATAATTTCGTCCTGTTTACGAACGTACCAGTCCTACTACACTGTACTGACTGTAGTGCACAAGAGAGAGAAAAAAAATCATTAAATTCACATCTATTTCCATCCTCGTGGAGAACAAAAAATAGTTGCATTTGCTCAATTACACCTAAATTAGAAAACTATGTGAACGAGAGCCATGAAAGTTCATTTGAGTGAATCAAACTGTGAACAGCAAACACTCCTCTGTAGACAGCTGACGTGCGCGCACAGAGCGTGAATCTACACTTGGCAAAACTTATTTCAAATCTCATCCACCTTTTCAAATAGTTTCCAGTAATTTTCTTTCTTCCCTTAAATTATAGCACATTTAATGCAAAATCAGGATTCATTTCACGTCAAATTATTTCAGCAGTTTAAATACTTGACTTTCATTTTCTGTTGTTTGAAAATGAAAGGGGCAGAAGTTTTAAAAAAGTTTTTGTCCCAAACACAGATCTGTTTAAAACAAAATATTCTTCTTACTGTAGCGTGAAAAAGGGCAAGCGTCTTCCTCCACCTTCTTGTCCCACTTTTTCCATTCAACCTCTTTTCTTTAGAGTAAATCCTACTTCAAATTGTCCTCAGAGTCATTACTAACACCAATAGAATTAACTGAACAACTATTTATACGCAGCCTGCAGTATTTTGGCAAACAAGATTTATTATGGGGCAATTAGTGGTTGGGGGCAGAGACGCGGGGCAGACTGACTGCTTCTACCCCTGCTCCTCAAGCGGGACCAGGCAAAGCGCTGTAGGCAGATTCTTTGGGCCGATAGAGTCCAAGCACCATGACCGAAACAGGCACGCTCTCTGGGGGTAGTTTTTAAGAGGGAAGTTTGTAGATTTAGAGATTTTTTTCCCCCCAAAGTTGTGATAACTTTCTTGTGTCTGTAAACAAAGTAGAAATACTCTCAAAACTTTTAGAAAATCAGTAAAAGCCACATTTTCAGTAACGTGTTTAGTTCAAATTTCGCAAGTTTTGAAAAGAGTCCGAGATAACTTAAGATAACTTCCTTTTTGAGAGAGATGTCTTTTTAGGGATGAAAATTATGCTAAATATGAAAGAAAAAGTCATTTCAATATACTTCAAATTTGAATTGTTTTGAAAGTTTTGAAATCCGACTTCTTTCTTTAGCTCTTTGCAAAAGTTGAGATGACTTCTTTTTGCCAGGAAATAGAAAGAGAAGGGAGAATATTTATATATTTTTGGCCTACTATTTATCAAAAAATTAAAAGAAAAGTAATTTACAATGCCAGCTTTTCATGAACACCGTGTCTCTATATTAAAGATTTCGTTGTTTTTGAAGTTTTGAAATCAGTCTTCACCAGCTCTTTTGTAAAAGTTGAGATAACGTCTGCCAGGAAACAAAGGGGGTATATTCATCTTCTGGGACTCAAATTATGAAAAAATATTTAAGAAAAAGTAATTCTCTGCCAACTTTTCAATAGCACCACGTCCCTAAATTAAAAATGCCAATGGTTTTTAAAGTTTTGAGGTCAGACTTCTCCAGCCTTGTTGCAAAAGATGAGATAACCTACGTTTACCAGGAAACAACCAAAGAGATATTTATTTAATTAAGGAAACTCTTAAAAACACGTCATTTACAACGCCAAGTCTTTTGAAATATTACCGAAAGTTTGTTACAGAAGTTTCCAGACGCTTGACATTTTGAACGCAACAAAATCCAACAAAGTCCACAGTAAATCCACACCGTTCGTTTTAGCACCTTGTGAAAAAAGTCATTTGTAGCTGTCCGCTCGCAACTTGTGAATCTGCGGCTGGCTCCACACAATAGCCCGTAGCCAGCTCATCCATCATGGTAAAGATGACGCTTTTGCACGCGTTTTGTCACGAAATTCACTCGGGTTTTTAATTTATGGTGCCCCAGTTGGGTGTGTTAAAGTCTGGGTATGTAATGTGTGCGGCTGAGTTTGGGAATGGGAGAAGGAGAAAGGCTGGAAGTTGGAGCTACTTGGGAATTTAGTTTGTATTTGCAAGAATGAGACAGCTGATGCATTTTTTGATGATTTTTCTGATAAGGATAGAGTTTCAGTGCTTTGTGTCTTCATGTTTCTGGAAATTGCTTTCTTTTCTTGGAATATTTTCATGAGCAAAAACTTTAAACTTCTGCTTGAACTTGACTAAGATAAAATAAACACGTTATGCTTTATTCTTGTAATTGTTTTGTACGTGTATTAGTGGCTTTTTTGTGATAATTTTCTTAGTTTTTTTGCTTTGTCTTCATGTTTCTGATTGTAAATTACTTGCTTCTCTTAAAAGTATTCACGATCAAAACTTAAAACTTTTGCTTGAACTTGACTGAGATAAAATAAGTACGTTATGCTTGATTTTTGTAATTGACAACAGTTTTGAGAAAATATGCGAAAATGTATTTTTTATTTTATTCTAAACAAATAAAAAATTATGAAGCTGATTGTGTCTCACTGTCAAATTACGCAGAATTTTTAGACATATTTTTCCAGATTATCAAGATATGTAGCGTGAAATGAAAATTAAAATAGGAGTAACTGTATATAAACTGTATTTTCAAATTATAGCTGTAGATGTGCTGATTCAAATAAGCGATGCAAATGTGAATTCAGATGGCTCACGATGAGAAACTCTTTTGTGTTCCAACACTGACGATGATTGAAAATGCTGTTTGGATCAACCGGTTTTTACAGTGCGTGGAGTGACTGGGCCCTGTGCTCAGTAGCTTGGGGGATTTCCTATAGTGTATTTACATAGTGTGAATATATCCTCGTTTCTCCCCTCCAACTCACTAAAAACTCCATGAAATCTAAAATTTTCATCAACACGTGCACTTTTGGGCTTCCTGCTGCTTTGTTACACTGCAAAAACTCAAAATCTAGCAAAGTTAAGTTTACTGGAATTAGTGACTTGAATAAATTTCATGTGAAAAGTAAAATGATCTCAACTTTTTTGTACTTAAAAGATAAAAATGCAAAGTTGTTTCACGTTAAGTTGCATTGCGTAACTTTTCCGGTAGAGAGTTTGCCAAATTCTTTTCTCTGTGGAGATTTTATTGCTTGGAATGTTTCGCAATATGGCGCTGAAACCTTTCTATCTCCATGGAGACCAAACCAGACCAAGTCACAGGTCAGATCTGTGGATATGCGACCCCGCTCACAGTAAGAATGCCTGTTTACTGCAAGAAAAACAAAAATCTAGTCAAGTTCAGATGACTTGAATTAAGAAAATTCCATCATGATTTGAGTAAATTTCATTTGACAAGCACAATTATCTTGCTACACTTAAAATAAGAAAACAACAACTCTTGGCACTTAAAATACGAAACAAAATCGAATGTTGCTTGAATTAAGAAAAACACACTTATTCCATTTGTAGATAATTTGACTTGTCAAGTTGAATCGACTCAAATGAAGCAAAATGTTCTTAATGTAAGTCAGTTTAACTTACCTTGATATTGTTTTTTTCCCAGTGTTTTTCTTGGTGTTTTTGAGCTTTAAAACCAGCTGCGATTTAATAAACGTAAGGTAGAGCTGTTTAAAGTCATACTGTGGAACATTCCAGGCAGAGCAATGACGTATCCATAGAAACAAGCAGGTGACGGACCCCTAACCAAAAATTTGCACCTTCAAGTTAAGAAAAACAGCCCTTATTCCATTGGGAGATTATTTTACTTAAGCTGAATCTACTCAAATAAAGTAAAACGCTCCTAATTTAAGCCATTTGAACTTACTTAGACATATTTTTTTTGCAGTGCACTCGTACTCTCAAGCTCCGGTTTAGAGGGTCATTTGTGAGAGCGTGCGTTAAATGTGCGCACTTCAAATGCACAGCTCGCCGTGGCTCTGTGGCTCCACCATCTTAGCTTTTATTCTAATGAGCGGACGGACAGATGGGCTCTTTAATGATGTCCTCTCTGTGAAGTCCACCACACATAGACCTTTTAGAAGAATCATCTCTTCCCACGGAGCTTCCTTACCGCACAATACTGTAATCAGGAATGTACAGTAGTTATGTGTATGCATGTATAACTTATTTTTGTTAGAATCACAATTTTGTATTCCGATGTTTTGTTTTGTTTTTTCAGACGAAGAACGCTCATGTTATTTTGTACGCTGTCATATTAAAAATCTATGCAAATTTTAAACATAACTTTGTGTACATAGTCAAATTCAACCAGTATTTTCTTCGGTTATTGCATTAGGTATTCAGAACTTGTTCACTGGTCTAAAT